TTATTGTCTTTGACTGTGTTATTCAATGCAGAGAATGGCGGCGTTCCTTATCATAAGCTAAAAAACAAAAAACTACAAAGAAATTTTATTTTTTCTAGTAGAATCTATATAAGTCCCGGAGACTTAGTTTCACTCAACTGAAGTTTCTGAACTGTAGAGGATGGTAGGAGGAGATTGGCGAGTTTACCGTTGATCACTGTTTTATGTCCTCCACGCGCTTCATATAAAAGGTTACGATAATCGAAGTTTATTACAACTATCTTGCGTTAAGAAGAGTACGAGGTTTGTACAGTAGTTAAAGCTTCTGGAAAACTTTAGAATTTTTGGATTTAAGTTAAACTGGAATGCTATATTTTTGTTTTCTTAGTTGGCCGGCGAAGAGAGAGGTGAGAAACATCATTCAATCCCATTGTTCGTATTTTCTGCATAATTAAAGTAGTTTCTTTACAAAGTTAGCGAATTAAATGAAAGCAGATGATTGCACTTCTGGCCTGAAACAGGGATGTTGTTAACCTGAAGACTGACCAATGAACGATGACTTTAGCAGAGCGTCTCGATTACTAGCAGAGACAAAAGAAGATGAAAGGCAATGCAAAAAAAGGGGGGCAAAACGATTTAGACCGTAGAAGTGGCATGTTTTAGGGGACAGGGCTCTATCGGTTGAAATAAAAAGTTGATTAAAAATATATGAATAAAGAAATTATAATGGCACGGTGATGGCAAATTGAAAATTTTTTGTGCGGATTCTAGAAATCTTATGGCACTTTACAAGGTCATTGTATTGTTGGGATGCAGTATAATGGTTACTGTCTACGTTTCTTAATTGCAATCTTAATTCTTCTCTCGCATAGGCTTAAGGTTCACGTTTTCCGCGCTTCTTGATCATTTTTGGATTTGCTTGCAAGTAGTTTGATAATTGTAGTGTTTGAGGAATGTATATAGAGCTTATTTATTTGCTGTGTGAGTTGACCGAAGTTATTGAGAGAGGTTTTCTGAGAGATATACTTGTGTTTATGTAAAGGGAAAGCTTCAGTTTACGATTTTGCACCGTCTGCTCGAGTCTGCTGGACGGGAGCGACTGGCAGCCCTAAAAGCTGTTCTAAATGCTGGTTTATACTCGCGTTCATTTCTGTAGGGTCGGAGAAGTATTTACTATTTTCAAAAACTGTATTACCTGACCGAAAATTTATTACCTATGTAATAAAAATAAGCCTTAATGTTTATTCAGCCGCAGTAGTATTTGATGGTCTTTTTTTTTTTTGCTGTATATAAACTTTTTCTTTGTTTTAGACAGAAAAAATACACTGACCATAATTAAATAATACTTATCGGACAACCTGAAAAGTGCATGAAAAATAACATTCATATAAAGATGTAACTCACATTTCAGATAATTCTGGTTTGTTTCTGGTTACTCTTTCTCAATTCTCTCCTTAAGGATCAGCTTAAATAATGTAGACAACCAATTCTTGTGATTTTAATTAATCAACATGACAAGTTCACATCCTATTTTATTAACAAGAACTTCAGTTTAAGGTCTGTATTTACTAAGAGGCTGAAGAATTTACTGGAAACTAAAATGTACTGTTTCTTTTTGTAAAGCTGTAACATGCTATACTCAATAACCAATGTGAGGTGCATAATCAGCTGCCCAACTCAATAACGACGTTCGTCATTGGCTGAAATGCCACACGTGAATTATGGGAAGTTTCCGCTAGCAAATTAGCTTCGTTCTTCAAAGGAAATTAATTTGAGCGTTGCTCATGTTCATCAGTAACTGTGTTGGCGATTACCTTGTAAAAACTAATCACTGCTGACATTTTTGAATAAACTGTCGTATAAGGCGAAGACTTATGGTCATCTCACCTGATTTCTTCTCAAATAACCAGTTTTTGATGAATTGTAAAGGGCTAATTCAACCAGAATGGCGGAGTTATACAGCGGATATTGATCAATATTCTTGTTGGAATTATTTTGAACTCACTTTTGAAAAGTTTTTCATTTATTTATTTTTCCTTTTTTAAGATGAAATGCTATTTATTTCTTTCAATTAACATGAGATATTTCCAAATTTTTGGTTCATTATCAGCTTTCTTAGAAGACTTTTGTCGTTGCTTTTCTATAATTAACGTCTCAACCTTGTCCACTGCCTACTTCTGCATTAACTTCTCATTTTATTATACTGCAATTGAGAGAAAGCCATATCCATAAAACTTCATTATCACTAAAATTTTCATTCAAAAAAAGACAGCCTTGCGAGCTGTTTTAATTGCTCCTGTTAAGGCACTTTAACAATTCTGATTTAGAGCATAATAATGCTGTGAAAAAACTTATAATGGCGATAGGGTACTCTGAAGGAAGAACAAGAGTGACAAGTTTTGAATTTAATGACAAATAAAAAAAAAAGGAAAAAGGAAAAACTGGCGAAAATGCGAACGAAAAAGGACGAGGAAGTGAGGTTCATTCTGACTCCAAGATTAAAACTAAAGTAAATGTGATTTTCAAGAAAACTTTCAAGAGAACTTTGACCGCTTCTGCTATGCAAATCAGAAAGCACCGACAAGTTGGCCATCTTCGTGGATGACGTTTATAAGCCTCATTCTTGGATAACACCGTCTATAAATTTTTAAAGTTAATAAATAATAAAAAAGACCGTCACTTCTTTTTACAGCACTTTAAATCCCTTTAATCTTCTTTTTGAATGTTTGCATAGTCTTAGAGAATCTTTCAGTTTAAGACGGCTTTTTTGTGGGACTGCTGCTAAGATTTAAGCCAGCAGTTCTGAATTATCAAAATGAGGTCTTCTCTATGCCCTTACTTTGCTGCTTCCATTAAGACACGTTGGAATACGGTGTTTTACTTTTTGTTCCTTTCTTTTAAAATCTTTTATCGTCATCACCGATCTTGTCACGCCGGTTTTGAAATTGTTGCTTTAAGATGAAAGAGATTGAAGGACTCGACAGTCTCAAAGTAAACGTTTTCCAGCTGGTGATTATGAAATGAGTGAAAATAACTTATTACACTTATATCTTGGAAGAACACCAAAAAATTTCAAATTGAACGTAAAAGACAGTAGAAAGTAAGACGAGTAATTTCTAACATAAAACTGCCTTTTCCCCGTTAAACTCTGCTTTACCAAATAACTAATGCGGAACCTCCCAAATAACATTGGCTTTTTGAAAAGTTGAATTTAAAGTTGGAATTTTAAAACGCTGAGACATGCAACAATTCATTTTGCATTTATTGGAAAGCGGGACTGCAGTTAAGAGCGTTCATCCTCAGACACGACTTTTTAATCCTGCCCAATTTGACTTTTCGTGTTCAAGGGTTTTTGGTGCCGCCTAATTCATCTGTGATAGTTTCAGGCTTGTCTACACAGCTCTTATCAATTTCCTAACCGTCTAATGCTGAAGTGTCGCTTTAACCCTTTTACCATTTCATGAGGCATTCTCCATGTCATTGGTTGTGTAATGGTTGAGCATTCAATCTGTAACCGCAGTTCTAAGAATCTGGAAAAGGTTCAAAGCAACCCCTCATGCAACTTGTTTACTGAGTTCTGATACTTCATGATTATTTTCTGGTCTGCTCAAAATCACTTATCTATTCACAGCTTTTTATTTTTATATATAGAACTCGACAAATGACATCAAGTGAGTTATTATTCTAGAAAGTCCGTTTTTACTTCTTGATAAACGATCACAGAACAAGAAAAGATAACTAGTGCCAGCGAGTGTATATGGGTTACTTTACACAAAGTGGCACACTTTCTTCCCCTCACATTTAAGAATTTTCTAAAATTTTGCTTGTTGGTAAAGCCTAAGCCAATATGGAGAAAGCCGAGAAATAAACCTGGAAAAGTGAATTCCTCGCCAAGTTACACTCCCTCAGAGTTGTAAATTTTGCCAGGATGCGGCTTGGCTTACCTACCTTTGCAGACTTCTAATTTAACCTGTTGTCAATAAGATTCAGCGGTTTTTAGTAATTCATGACATTTTCTGCTTTTTCAAATGCATATTAATAATTTAATATAGTTTCTAAAAGCCGTAAAAAGCACTTATAAAAATTTGATATGTTTTGAAGATTCGTTACAAAAATTGTATTTTATTTTAAAATATTAACAAATTATTATTCTGCACAACTGTAAGAAGGAGCTCTTATTCCAGTGTTTTCTGTTTCTCATGTTTTATTCTGTCAAAATTATGTAGCTAGAATACATTTTCGCGTCGAAGAAAAGTGTAAGAACCTACTTCATTACATAATTAGCTGCTGAATTGAGATTTTTCTCAAACTTTTGACGATTCTGGGGAACTACAATACGTAGTTTTAAAGAAGGAACAAGAACTTGAGCTCATTTTTGTTTTTACAGTGTAAACCTTGACAAGTACACTATGAACACAAATCTAAAAGCTCAGAAACCACGACATACAACAAACAGGTACGTTTTTCTTTGTACTTGAAATCTTATTTTTAATGCATCTATAAAATTTTACAGCAGAATTAAATTACTTAATATGCTTTTGAAAGCGGAGAAAATGACAAATCTAAGAAACCGAAAATTGCTAAATTCTGTATTTTATTAACAATAAGCTGAACTAGAAATCTGCAAAGGTGAGCCCGCTAAGCGGCATCTTCGCAAATTTCGCAACTTTGAGGAGGTGTAACTTAGCTGGAAATTCACTTCTCCAGGTTTTTTTCACCTTTTTGTAAATTGGACCAGACTAATAACCAGCAAAATTTGAAAAAAATCAGAGGTATAAAGGGAAAAAAGTAAGCAACTTTGTGTAAAGTGTCCCATGTATATTTGCTAGAATTAGTTGTTTGTTCTTATCCGTAGTTGTCTGCTCCTATTCTGTAATCGTCCAACCAAGCAGAATAAGTATTCTCAGTAAGTGCCATCGCGCATGATACTTTTTTAAATGGCGGACTGTGTCTAAGAATTTTTTGTTAACTGTTTCTCTAATTGAGTATAACAGCAAACAACAGTCAGCCTCTTTAGATAAATGTTATCAAAAGAGGCAAAAAAACCCGAGAAAAAGAGAGGGTTGGAGCCGTCTAAAAACGAGAAATTTATGAGTTGGGAAGAGGAGCATTTAATTGAGGAGAGGTGGGAGAGGGGGAAAGGCGAAGGTAACCGTTTCTTCAAATGTATGCCGAGTGATACTAAGGAAGCTGCCGTACAAAGTGGCATGAACGCTTCCTGCTCGCTTTTTCGTCAACAGAGTTATCACTTATATGAAATGAACAACTCCGGCATCCTACAAAAAGTCTAGTTTTTCAGACCAAAGAAATCGTTTGGACTTTGGATTTCTACACCGTGCAAATTGTTCTGCGCGGGCAGAAATTAGGAAGTAACCAAGCTATAAAAGCACATAACAGTCAGCCTTCTACATTTCCAAGATTTTTCTTCTACGACTCAGAACGGGAAGTGGTAAATGAGCCGAGAATATGCTTACCGACGCAAACAGCGAAAGACGTCAGATGTCCTCAAAGAATGTTACCTCGGACTAACACTTAATACACAATAAACAATTTCTTAAATTGTGTGACGCCATGTTTGTTGCTGCATTTCTTCTGGGACAATTAGGAAGACTTTAGAAAATAAAAACAATTAGAAAGACAAAAACTTCTAGCATTCCTTATGTTTTCTGTGTTTCTTGTAGGCACTGGTAGTATAGTGAAGAAAGCGATATCGGTGCTCGTGGAGAACGGCGTCCTTGAGCAAAACATCTTTATATTAACACTGTTCACGACACCTGCAAGTGAGTCAAACTTCAAGTACTTTTCTCAGTCACCAACTTCCCCACATTTCAATAATCCTCTTTTAGTTTTGCTTCTGTTTAATTCAAGGTCTGGAAGAAATTGTCGGCAACTTCCCGAAGGTTTCAATCCTTACAAGTAGTTACAGCCCATTAGTCCCATATCACTTTGCCACAAAATACTTTGGTACCGACTAACACCGCCTTCTGTTCTCCAAAATGTGAAAAAACCAATCATTGGAATGGGAAAGTACTTTCGAACCGTGATGTTTTTGTTCCAGTTATTTATTATAAACCTTAATGTTCATTTACAGTGGCAACTTCAAAAAATTTAAAGAGCTTAAATGAAAATAAAAAGAGAAGAAAATGGAAATATACATAAGTATGAGACGTGACCTTTGATTCTAAATACCAAACAGCTGCACACAGAACCCGTAATAAGTAATTTAAAAATGCTGCCAGAAGACGAGACACCCCACTCTGGAAAGTCCATTTATCAAATAAATAACCTTTTGATAGACAGTAAGAAATCCCTGGGTATTACCCACTTTTTGCCTTTTTAAAATGATTTTTCCTTCCAAATTTCAATTCCTCTTTCTATATTCTGGACATTTGAGGACTTAAAAGATTTAAAAGAAGGTCCAAGGACGAGCACTGTTCAGATCGCTGCTCGCCCAATGCGTAATTTAAAAATGGCTATTCGTTTTTTCTTCTATCTCTTCAATAGTACTTGTCATGAAATTGTTCGGATTTGTAATTTCAGCTTCAGCCTTGCCAGCATTAGTTCCTCCAACATCTTTTAACTGGTCTTCTTCATCCACTTCATTTCTCTCAGTACCTTCACTAGTCGAATTGTAATCTTCTTCAGTTACCTCTGACACACTGCGTTCGCCATTGATTTCCCCTCCGCCCTCACTGCTGTGTGGGTACCCATCATTCTCTGTTTTCATGGCAAGGTCGCCATTCTCTTCTTTTTCTACCGTGCTTTCAAACGAATTTGAGATGTCGTCTGTTAAATTAAGTTCCTTCTCTACTTCTTCATCTTCTTCTTCACTCACTTCTTCTTCAACTTCTGCCTCGCTTGCATCATTGTCTCCCTCATCGCCCTCACTGTATTCGTCCCCATAATCTTCGTCTTCCTAAAAAAGAAGATAAAGACTCTAAGCTGATATCACTATGAAAACCTAAGGGGAAAAACTCCACCACAAATCACTATGGAAAGCTTTTCTAAAATGCCTTTACGCATTAAAACTGGATTTAATCCTAGTCTAAATGTTGTTTTTACAGTGACTTTGCGGTCAGACAAAAATTTTACAATTACGAGAAATTTCACATCAAGTGGAACAAAGTGGAGTAGTACAAATAGGCAAGAATTTACTACAAGAGAGATTTTAACATTTCCACTATGAATCGTTTGGGTGTAACACAGGCAGATGCGGGAGTAGTAAAATACATAAATTATATAAAAAGGAAACATACCTTGCAGCTTTGCGTCAATCACTAAAATAGCTTCAATATAAACCCTTAAAGAAATGCCTTATGCATGCAAAACGCATCTCATCAAAACATCAACTCAAATTCCTGTGGCATTTTTAACAGACTACTGTGAATGAAAACTTCTTCGAAGAAGACTAGTGGCTCTGCTCAAGAGTAGTACTGTATTAAATGACAAAAATTTAGGTGGCCAAGTGCCAATGCAGAAGATAGCAAGTTCTCAAAGGCTTATTAACAAACGTTTAAAATATAAAATAAGAAATTTTTTCCAGTAATTGATCTATTTTCTAATGCTACTTCTAACGCTTGCTGCTTTTACAAATTTAAAACGGTAAGAAATTTTTTGAAGGGGACCACTACGTGTTTTTATATCAAAGCACGAGAGACATATCATTGCATGGAAAATAATAAAATGATGCACCTGATTATCACTGCTAACTTTTTCTTGTTCATTTTCATTTGCTTTTTCCCCGGAGCTCTCCTATAAACTTGCGTTATTACCAAAAATCTGTACTTGTAAATTTGGAACATTCACTATTTACTTCTTAAACAACGCTTGTAGTTAAACCCCTAATATCACTCTATTTTGAGTAAAACAGAGTGAGAATTTTGGCAAAACGAAAAGACAGTAACTGCACCGCTTGCTTAATTATATTAGTTCATTACAATTTCGTTCATCTTCTTACATAAAATTAAGTATTCATTCCAAAGAAGTGGCTTTTCAGTTGTTTGGTTTTTCAAGACAGTTCACTAAGAATTGACTTCAAGAATTTAAGTAAAAACTTACTGCATTATCATCGGCTACTAATCGCAAAAATTGGGGTAATGAATTGTCTTCAACAGCTTCTTCAAAGTCTATGTAATTCTGCAATCAAAAATAAAAGATAATAGCTCTCTTCCAAACAAAAACTGAAGGTCTGTAGCCTTCACGATAAAAAATCTGTGTTAAAAAAGCATAACTATACCTTTCAAGTAGCAGTGAGATGCGTGTTAAAAAATTCAAGAAAGTTCATCAATTTATTCTTCTCAGAAAAGAAGTATACAGTGCAAGGAAAATAATACGACCGATGGCACATTTGTGGAAGTATTAAGTTTTGAAAGTAAACAATTTTTTTGTTTGTACGACATGACGAATCAAAATGAAAAAATAAATAAATAAAAATAAAATTAAAATTGGTAGTTCTACAACTTTGTAGCAATAATGACTCGTTTGTGTAGGGGAACTGTGACTTTTAACAGCAAAAAATCATGCAAAAATAACGGTCTTGTATAGTATTCTAAATTGTCCTCCCAAGTAATTTAACGTTCCATTTTTGAATTAGGTTTTGGTTTTTTTGCTTGCTAATTCTAAATAATTCTTACAAATTTTGAGTGAGCCGTCAGCTAAGTTTGAGTGCTTGAGAGCAACATCGGCAAAATAAGATCAAAAATCTGACCTAGTTTTGTCTAAGATGGAGCGGTCTAAAAAACTTAATTTTGCGTAATTAACGCTTTAAATCGGGATAAACGTCCAAAAAAGTGGAAAATGGAGAGGAGAAAAATGACATTAGTCAATGAACAGTCCAATAAAGTCACCGTCGGCCAGAATCTCACAATTATTTGACCTTTGCAGATATTCAAAGCAGCGTTCAAAGTTTATTAGGTTGCGCATCAAACTAACCAACAAGAATGCAAATGCAGTAGCTTGGAATTCCGAGATGTGAAAAAGCCGTATATCTCTGTCTCTTTAAGAAATCGGCAGTAGCGTTTAAAACTAGCAAAAACAAATACTCATTGCGTTTTTGATGGAGAGAAAATAGTGCTACAGCTAACCTTAACTTTAATTAAAAATGGCGGTATAATTAAGTAGAAGAGATGTCAGAGTCCAGTTGTAAAGTAAGGCTTGCTATATATCTTGGAGGTTCAGTAACGGTTTCATTTATTGCAGAGACAAGCATTCCATTTAGAATTAAGAACATCCTGAACTCTAATAATTTCCTCATGAGTTTTCATTAATTTGGCCCTTCAGCAACATAGGAAGCCTAGTCATAAATCAAGTCTTACTAAAAACTGGTCACGAGAAACCAAACTTTAAGCACTCCAGCTCAGAGCTTAATTTTGAATTCTGTAACGTCACTATGAAAGAAAATCAGCAAGTGTTTTAAAAACCTGAAAGCACTGACAACTCAAATGAATAACTGGAAATACTTGGAACAGCGACAAATACATGCGACTGTTCGATGGACTAGATGCCGGATATTTTACAGGTGATGAGTCAGAAAAGTTACGTCTTAAAAAATTAAACTTCGGCTCATTTACAGATTTGTTTTATTCAATCTTGTTGTTTCTTTAACCTTAGTATTAAAAATAAACCAAAAAATTCACCAAGAGTAAGAAAGTAAGAAACAGCAGTAAAAGAAAGTTCATTCATCGGTTGTATTGTTTTGCCCGCTACTGTACATTAAAAGCTTTTGTTACCTCAGTGACCACAAGTAAAAAGTGAAGCCTTTCGTAAGAGAAGATTTAAGAAATTTATTAGAACTAAATATCACTAGAGAATTATTGTAATTTTTCAAGTAACAAATACAAACTCCAAGATAAGTATTGCCATCAAAAAACTGGGGTGGTAACGGAACTCCTGAGCATCGTTTATTAATTGCATTTTCGCGCATAAAATTCTTATGTTCCTCATTACCGCGTAGAGTGATATCAATAGCCTTAAACGGTACTCGTAATCCGTCTAATATCATTAGAGTTTTTTGAACCTGCTTCCGAATCTGAAACTGTCATAGGTGAACCTTGAACGATGAAATGAAGACAAATGTGCTTATTCAGCACTGTAAAGTACCAGTAAGAAAAAATTTATTCACCTTCGACCAGATTTCATTTGCCATTCTGAGGCTACATAATTTGAAAAAAATGAATACTTATTAAGCAGGTATACAAAAACAAATGCGGTGCAAAAGCTGATAATTTTTACAAAGAAATAATACCCAGATCCCAGATTTTTATTTTTACCCAGTCATCCGATTTCTTTTATGAAAATCAAAATAAAACTTTTCTCTTCTCCTTTCTTCTCTGACAAAACTGTTAGTTGAAGGCAAAATAAAAAACCAAAACGATGCCGAGAATAAAAGCGAAGAAATGTTTGGATGGTTGAATTAAGTGGAAGAATTGAAAGAAAAACCATAAAAACTTTTTTATTTCACCCACAGAGAACTGCTAAAAGAACGCAAAAGAAATTTAATTTAATAAAATCTTAGCGTTAGTAATTAGTTTTTAACAAAAAAGCAACTATGCGCAACTGCCGAACAACCTAAATGTAATATCAGCATCGCCGCAAGATAAGTCAGTTACGTTTTGTCACGCCTCTTATTAGACTGTGAGGTAATTGCAAAGCGAGCGCCTTGAAACAAGAACGAAGTAACACTCTATTTAAAAGTTAAAGTCGGGTAACTGCTATCAAAACAGATTAAAATAGTCACACAGATAAAAGACAGTGTCCCAGAAACTTATCGGAAAATCAGTACCACAAACGGCCCTAGGGTTAACAAAACAATCTTCGCAAAAGTTCCGAAAACAACGTCTACCTAAGTAGTAAAGTGTTACATTACAAAAACAAAAAAGTGAAGAAAAAAAGCAATTTTACTTTGCAGTTTTCCTACTTTCATGACAAACGCCACTGAACCATTGATTGTGCAGTCAAATTTTTTCTTCAAAAGAAGAAAGAGCAGCCAAGGCAGCTCATTATTAGGAAAATTCAAAAATTGCTGTATGCTGTTCTTCCTAAACGTTTTCAACGAGAAGACTTCCCGCGATTATTTCAAATACGACCAAAGAGAATGTAAAGTTGCAGTGAAGAAACATGACATGAAACACAAATAAGAATTGTAGAAAAAACAAAGATTTCAGCAATCGACATCTGAGAAGTCTTCGTTGAAAGGGAAAACTACCTCACTTACTAAATAATACAAACAATTAACAGACAATAACTGAGACAAGCAGTCTGTAATTATAGACACTTCCAAAAAAAAAAAAAAAATATTAAACACTGATTAATTAACATATGAAAAGTAATAAACTGCAAAAAGGCCAATATACCTCCGTATTCCCAGTTATTGATGCGATGTAAACGTTCAGCGGCATTTCGAATAAAATTTCTATAAATTATTACTACCGATTATTCTGCCGTCCTATTAAAGTTCTCTTCCAATACTTTTTGGATTTGCAGTGTGCTAAGCTTCTCTGTGCTCGCCACCGTCAAAACCTTCAAAATTTAAAAAAAGAAAAATGAAAACACTTTGTTGCAATGACTGGGAAAAAGAACAAACTTGAAAGAGCCACAAATTGGCGATGACGACGAGATGTAAGAATGCTTCTCCTTTATTCAAGTGTGTTTCTGTGCCTGTGCCTGCGCCGCAATGTCGCAACGATAATAGTGCCTCTACTAACGCCCTAAGTTTTTGAGAGCGCTGTATAAATGCTACTTCGCGAGAGCAGCGGTGTTCGCTATAATAGAGGCAATGGCAGCAAAAGCAGCAGCCGCACGAAAAGTAAAAACAGCGGCAGCGATTTATTAAGGCTCATTTTTATGCAACACCGACTGGTTGCGTTGTGTATTGCAGTGCAGGCATTAGCGCAGAAGTTCAGAATCATCTCTCTTAGTCAGTGACTGCGCGCCGTTTAGGCACTGGAATTCGCACTTAGTTCCTGGTCATCTGCGTTCTTTGTTCGTAGTCAGTACGTAACTGAGGCATATATCAAGAATTTTTTCTCCTGTAAATTATTTCTTTTTTTATAGATTGCGATGCTCAATTATTATGAATAATGCAGCAATGAGGTTGTTGAAATAATTTACTGTTATTAGCATCATCCTTAAATTCCAAGGAATTGGAGGTATTTAATTTTCCGCATCTTTAATGCTTTTGAGATTTTGCTTCTTTAGTTAAGTTGCAGCACGGTAAAAAATGACAAATTTTTCAATTAACTCCTTACAAATGTTTATTAGTTTAGTTTTCCCTCTCCACCCTCTTTGCGTTCCTCATAAAAGAAGCTGTTTTCTCCTTTTAAATGCCTCCTCCGTTGCTTCAAAGCTGGTCTAAAAAAATATCATTTTATAAAAACTATATAAGCCACTGCATTAATCATATAAATTAATAACAACTCAACCAATAAAAAACCAAAACAAATAAAACAATAAAAATGTTCAGCGGCGGCAAAAACTTACGCAAAGTTTTTTACACCTTTTTGTTAGGGATGTTTGTTGATTTTAGAGAAGTCGCTTTGCGAATACCTTTTTCAGATGTTCGTTTCTTTTTTCTTGTTTTTTTTTTCTTTTGGTGTCGTGTTTATTCTTTCTTTCAGCTATTCATTCATTTCAGTCAATGTACCAATTTTTTTCTAATCTTTGTTTTGAGTTATCTGAAGAGTAAAGAACTCGGAAATTTCTTCAATGTTACTCTCGCTTTGCCGCGATCATTACAAAGAGCGAGAAGAACAGCATCTGCAAATCAAACAGTTTAAAAAAATAGTAGGGACTGACAAAGATTGCAACAATACCAAAAAACTCATAATGTGGATTATCGACATTGTTCTGAAAGCTTAGAGATTTTCTGCATTACGGAAACCAAATATTTTGAAAGCGTATAATAATTCAAATAATTCAAAAAATTTTTTACGAAATACAATTTCATACAACAGTTTTTTTAGCATCTTGAACACAGTGAATATTCATAACGTTGCGCTCCAGTTTTTGAAAGCAAATTTTGTAGTTAAGAATTATCTTGCTACTGCGAAACGCATACGATTTCTGTAACGACGGAAGACTTTCATCGGCCTTGGCCGGCTTTCCAACCTGTAACCTTCAACTCAGTTCCATTACAGAAACTTCACTGGATCCCTGGTACTTTATAAAGCAGAAAGCTCTACTCAAAGCGAGTTTCTTTTCTTAAAAATTTGGGAGGACGGCTCCTTCCGTAATTTTTTCGACATCTATATTTGTTACATCTGCCAAATTAAGTAATTAAAAATTGTAAATTCTACCTAAAAGTAGAAAGGAAGGAGAGTTTAATGTTTTTAACACTTGATACTGGATTGTTAGCTCGAAGAGTTTACCTCAAAAAATGTGCTGGCCGCACAGTTAGACTGTTCTAAAGTGTAAAGAAAAAACGCAGTTTACCCTTGACATAGTCACCTTTACAAACTTGTAGTTTTCTTCATTCGCAACGGATTTTTCTCTTTTCACTTCAATTAAAAGCTTGTCTTGTCTTCTGCAAATCCTGAGAAGTGGTAGAACGCCTACAATAACAAATTTCATTCTAAATTAATATAAAAACGAAAATTCAAAAGGATTTTTTTTTGAGAAACGAAATTTTAAATTTTTTAAAAAAGATATGTTTTTTAATGACATAATTTTTGCACAACACGTGAAAATTTTACACTGATATCTTTTCTTCATCAAGAGTTATGGTGCGATTAGTGACAGTAGACAGGAAAAAACCCCTAACTGAAGCAGCATTTTGGCGCATTCGCAGGTGACAGAGCCTCTGCTCCAACTTAAATTCAACTCTACTACTTCAGTAATTGACAATTAGTCAAATTTTATTTACTTTTAAGCAATTTTACAAGTATTTTTTATAAGAAGAAATCACTATTATGGTCGCTTTCCCGGTTTTCATCACTTTGCTTGCTGATTAAACCCTTCTAACTTAAATATATCACGTTCAGTACTGTTTTTTGGTTGCGAGTATGGTTTTTCTTCTATTGTTGCAGCAGTGGATTAATTTGAGAATTAAAGGAATTTGAGAAGATTAGCAGCGATGGCCGTCATGAAGGAGACACACTCAGTCTAAATCTTAACTCAAAATAACCTTTACAAATAGGCTCCAAACAAACGAGAAGAAATACTAGTGATTTTATTACTTTCACAAGAATATGAAAGGCAAGGAACATCTCTATTACCTCGTTTTTGAGTAGGTTCACCAGTCAAACGTATAGAAATTTCACTGCATTATACTACAAAGCGCTGAGAACAAGAATAGCAAAACAATACTCCTTATCAAAAGTAAATACAACTTTTCAAATCTTTGGATCAAAGGAATCAGTGAGGAAGCAACGAGAAGCAACTGGAAAGAGTAACAATATCAGTAACAGCAAAAAAATTTTTGACCAGACTTCTGTCACTGAGCTAGATAAGCTAAAGCATAGCTCAGTACAACAATATATCAGTTGAAACCTTAACGTTTTTTCTTGCAGGGGTTCCAGAATACTAGGTGTACTGAAGGTTTTTACAGTCTATCCCGATTAATCAATTGTAAGTTGTGATACTATAAAAATACAGTCTTGTAATTTTAGCCTTTTGTGCAAAAAAATCGTCTCCAGTAAATATATCTTCTTTAAAAAATTTAAACAGTAGGTTTTTGAAAAAGTTTTCAGTTCTTGTTCCTGATCAATTCTTTTATGTAATGCATTAATATAAAGATTTCATCACTTTTCTAGTTCTTCATAAGGCGCACTTTTGAATGGGACATGAACTCTAAAAAATCTGCTGGGGACGGACAAAACTACAAATTCCTAAATAACCATGTTTAGTAAAAACAGTGTTTTTCTTTGCCTAACTTAACGATCAACAAGTTTTTTTGAAGTGAACCCTTTTGATTTTGCGATAAGGTACCAATTTCTACAAATTGACGAGTGATGAAATTTAAAGGCTTGTGAAAGAAAGAGCGGAATTTAACGTGGAATTGGCCAAATATATAAATGCGCCATTCCATGCCAAATCGCACAATTTTGAACACCGACTTCTCAAATTTTTTTCATTTTTTGGTGATTAGTAGAGGCCAGGCCAGTATAAAAAACGACGCAAAGAAAACCTGGAAAGTGAATTTCCCGCCAA